CTGTTTTGTTGAATATCTAGTTACTGAGTGAAACGAAATGGCAGGATCCTGTCCAGCCCCTATACTGTTTATTGAGCCTCAGCCCCGTCCCGACCCTGTACCATCGCCAGGTGACTGGTGACGTCATACGACTGTCCCAACATGGCGGCACACCTTCCCGTGGACGTCACGGGTGGGAGACAGACTGTCTAGCACCGCCTCCGACACGGCCGCTCCTCCACCCGAACCAGTCAGTCGGCAACAGGACGGCAAAAAGGCAGTAGCCCGACGGCGAGTCTGATCAGAAGGATCTGTTGCCCCGACAAGATGTGTAAAATCAGAAAGAGATAATTTTGCTTGTCTACTGTCAATCAAAAGCTTCGGCAATTAACTACGCATAGCTGTTCACAGATACCTATTGAAATAAAGTAAACATAGAGCTTGAATCGTTACTGGACCATGATGCTTCAAACTGTCGTGCCTACGAGTATATGGACCATCACAGAGGCGGATCCAGCTCAGAGGTTTGGGGGGGGGGGGGCAAACCATAAAAATTTATCGATTCTTTCCATGCATCGTCCATAGGCGTAATGTTAAAATCATGCCGTTTGGGGGGGGGCAAATGCCCATTTTGCCCCCCCCCTGGATCCGCCACTGGACCATCACTTCGCCTATTGATTCATGAATATTTTTTGTCCCTTACAATTGATCATCGACCATCTCTTTGATCACTTTACTGACATCGCATGCATTGAATATTCTTTGTGTAACGTTGCGTGACATCTGACCAGATTTCTCGCCTCTGTCCAGAACAGAAGTGAGGTTACATAATGATCACAAGCCACGCTCGGACCTTTTGCAGGGACGGGCGACACATAACATATTGAAACGCACGGATGGACTATCCGCGGTCACGTGAATTCAGCAGCAAGCAGAGGTCAAAGGTCAACGAAGGTCAGGTCAGAGGTCGATGCAATTCGCAGAAGGACAAGACGGTACGGTGTAGAGACAGAGTAGGTCATGTAAAGGGAACGACGTAATGGGACCACTTCATGTGAGCCAGAAGGATAAACGTGTGCTATGAAGAGGCGAACTCAGCGAATCGCTCAGCCGCAGGGTTTTTATGCTCAGGTGCTTGCATTATCTAGTTTTATGGAATTCATCTTGCCTGCAAGTTCGCCTGAAATACTTTCCAGCGAACAGTTAGTGCTAAACGTTCTGTACTGGTTAAAGGGAGAGCATATTCAGCGAACGAGAGCGAGCGTGCAATATCGGCGGGCAAGGTCAGAGTGGATTGATGCCTCGACCCTCGCCCATGGTCGGCGTGCGACTATCGGACACTGTTCGTGGTACACACACAGTCACAGCTCACTCGAGAAATGGGCCGTCCTGGGCAAGATGGCTGTGGAGTGGAGCGTGCCTGCACAATAGTCATTCGTCGCTATTGTACGGCACTTACTTAGCCATTCAAATACTCAAAGAATTACATGAAGTGCGTACAGCTCCGTGACAATTGTGCGTCGCGTTCGTCTGATGAATTTACTACATCAGTCAAATGGCGTCAGTAACCGCAGTGTGGTGGGCGCGCGTAGCTGGTAAAAGCACAACTAAGCGGAAAGCGCCAAAGCGGCTGTAAATAACGCAGTCGACGCGCACGCATAGCCCGGGGTTGTTGACCGTTCCATGGACCGTTATCGTACACAGAGGCCACCGTGAGCTATGAGCTAAGGAGCGTGTGAGAAGGCTCAGCTCTAGAGCTTGCAGACCAGACCAATGGTGAGAAAAGAGCTGCTGCATGCTGTTTACAAACCGGGTACATCGCGGTGACTTCCCAGCCGGCCTCTGCGGCCTTGGGTGACCCTCATCTCTGAGTCAGGCGCATCCCGCTAGTACCAGCGCGGAACTGCAGCTCGGTGAGGTCATCCTCCCGGCCGGCGCGAAAAGAGGACGGAGAACGTGACTGATACAGTCCCAGTGACGGACAGCTGATAAGAAAATGCGCCGAAAAGACATAAAACTTCCTCCATGGGACGGCCCAGCGCTGTGGTGTCGGGTTTTTACGCCATAGCTGAACTCCGTCCTGCTGACGAAAACACGAAGTCAACACCTGCTGTTGCTATCCGCAAAAGCGCAACTGACAGACTCATGGTATATTCGATATTATCCATCAGCGCACAACAGTAAATCTCAGCAGGGCAGAGGTACATACAGAGAGGTCAGCCACGTGTCTGGTTACGGAGCGAGCGAAGCGAGCGTAGTCTTTCCTGGTCTTTCCTTAGATTAAAGGTCGCCGTCCACTGGTTAGGCGCGCTTTCAGCGCCTAATCGTTTAGGCGCTGAATACCATTTTCGGCGCCTAATTTAACGATGACTATGCGATGAATTTGATTTCATCGGGATCCGCCATGATAGCTCAAGGACAATTCGATAAAAAATGCATGAAAATGTAATATAATTTGTGGTAATGCACATCACTGACAGATAAATAATAATTATTTATATAATTAATTGCGCCTTTGACCGTGGTTTAATTTGTGTCAGTTTCTTATATGAACCGTAAAAGGTTCATTAAATTGTTCTTGAAGACAATACAATCTCTTAGCAGGGACGGAAATGTAAACAACGTTTGTTATTGTTCTCACATCAGCTAAAAGTCCGTCATTATTCAATTAACTATTCACGACATGGAGCTAAACATCGCACGAATCGCACTAAGCACGACTCGAATCCGGGTGGAGCAGGAGCGCCGTCGAGCCCGACGCAGGTACTGGGTTGCCGAAGTGCTGCAGAGGCGACAAGCCCGAGGCGAGTTTTTTAACTTGGTGCAGGAGCTGCGTGCCGTGGATCCCGACCGGCACCATGCCTACTTCCGCATGAGTCGGGAGACCTTCGACCTGCTTCTCGCCAAGATCGGGCCCAGCATCACGCGCCAGCGCACCAACTTCCGCGAACCTATCGACCCCGCTCAGCGCCTGGCCGTGACGCTGCGGTACCTGGCCTCCGGCATGGAGTTTTCTGCGCTGGCACCCTGCTATCGCCTCGGCGAGAAAACCGTGCGTGCCATCGTGTACGACACATGCGCGGCCATCATCGCCATACTGGGACCGGAGGTGCTTCCAGCTCCCACCAGGGCGACGTGGGAGCGAAGCGAGGAGATCTTCCGCACCCAGTGGAATTTCCCGAACTGCGTGGCCGCGTTGGACGGGAAGCATGTGGTACTCCAAGCCCCTTCCAACTCTGGCAGCGAGTACTATAACTACAAAAAGTCCTTCAGCATCGTCCTCCTGGCAGCCGTGGACGGTGCCTATCGGTTCGTGTACACGTCAGTGGGAAGCGCCGGAAGAGAGTCGGATGGGGGCATTTTTAGGAGGAGTGACCTAGCCGCCAAACTGCAAGACGGCACTCTCGACCTGCCCCCTCCCAAGGCGATCGATCAGAGAGGCACGACCCTACCAAGCGTCATCGTCGCCGATGAAGCTTTCCCGCTGACGGTGCACATGATGCGGCCCTATCCCGGACGTACCGAGAGCCGGCTGGGAGCTCCGGCCACCATCTTCAACTACCGGCTGTCGCGCGCCCGACGGGTAGTGGAGAACGCGTTCGGGATTCTCTCCCAGACGTGGCGCATCTTCCGGCGTCCGCTGAACGTCAATCCTGAGCACGCCTGCACTATTGTCAGGACGGCGTGCATCCTGCACAACTACGTGCGCGACCAAGGACAGGCGGACAGCCAGCAGCCGCAGCAGGCCGACGCCAGCGGCGAGCAGGTGGGCGGACTCTGCGAGCTGGGCAGGCTGGGCGCCAACAACTTCACTCGGGAGGCCGAGCGCATCCGCGACCAGTTCGCCCGGTACTTCATGGCCGAGGGAGCCGTCCCCTGGCAGGATGCTGCTGTCGGGCAGTGAGGGCGTGTAAGCCTGTCACTTCGTGGCTGGGGAGCCGTTCCGCAGCAGGCTGCTTCTGTCGGCAAGTGAGAGGTGCGAGAGGCGGGAATTGAGTCGTCTTTGACGCCACTGGTGTTGCTCCGTGTGATAATGCTGTTTCATTTGTCACGCTCAAAAACCTGTCATATAAATACAAGCATTTACGGCCTTTGTCGTTTATTGCACGCGAAAGTAGTGGAAATAAATAACATTAACTGTCGCCCTTTCCAACAACCAAAGTCAGATAACCACGTAACGTCCAACTTCAACTTCACAGCAAAGGAGCTCAAACATTTAAACACCAGGTAAACGAATTCACTCCTAAATCAAAACTTGAAAAAGGGTCGCTATAGCGATCAGACAGCGGAAATACACACTACGCAGAATATGACTCAGGCTCAGCAAAGTTCGCCATGGTGGAGGTTGCATGGAGAGGGGACGCATTTGGCCGCATCACATTATCTCAGAATCAAAGGAAGCTGGAAAGACGCCGAACAGGCATTATATAGCTCGCTATAAGCAGACATGTGCATGGATCCGGGAAAATGGATCTGAAATTCGATCCCATGAATCTAGATCTGGGATCCACCCGGATCATAGATCCAACCCCTCAACTTTGTCGAGAGATCCACTCAGATCATAGATCCAACCCCTCAACTGTGTCGAGAGATCCACTCAGATCATAGATCTTACCCATAAGCTCGAGAGATCCGCTCAGATCATAGATCCACCTCTCGGATCCATGCACATGTCTGGCTATAAGATCGTTTTGAATCATTCTGGTCATTTTTTATCAAATATGTGTGAAAAACGTCCCCCCTCCCCCACCCGTGCGAAGGTTATCACCTGCTTTTAATCGGACTGCGCCCTTTTCAAGACTGTAAGAATCTCCAGTCTCGCATCCGCTTTCTTGTCGTCCCTCACACGCTCCATCTCCAACCCCACCAGCTGACCAAATAGTAGGTCCGGGTTACGGAGGTCGCTCACCGCGCGTTCTATGGACGCTATGGCGGCGTCAAGCTTCTCGGCGCCACGAGCACCCGGCCCCCTGACCTGCTTGACTTGGCCGTTGGTGCCAGAAGAGCGCGGATGACTCGGGCCGGCGACACAGCTCGCTGCTGGTGGCACCGCGGACACCCGAGGCGTTCCGAGGAGCGTCGCAGCTGGGAGGACTCCTGAGGCACAGCTCGCTGCTGGTGGCAACCAGGACACCACAGTTAGATCATCGTGGCTTACAGACGAGCAGTTAAAATACACGCCGTCCTAGGCTCAGATCGATGTATGACTGGCTTACAGGCACTGATAGACACTAGAGTCCTCGTTTGTTACGTTGTTGTCAAATGACGAGGTTATGCTTTTCGGAGTCCTAATGACGAATTTCATGTAAGTTTTGATTTAAGATTATGTCTTTATGCGTTTGGGGTAGGTCAAGTCAGGTCAGTTTAACCAGATGGCGCCATGTCGGCTATCCGTAGTTACAGGTGTCAACCACCAGTGGCAGTTTCGTATTATGCTATGATGGCTGCATACCATTTGAACAAACTCACCAGCAGGGGCGGCGCCACGGGTTTTCGATAGGGGGGGACGGGGACCGAAAATCGAAAATCCCAAAAGTAGATACTGATCGTGTATGCAAAAAAAAAGAGGCACGTAACGCCGCGAAACTTGGCAAGGCCCAAAGGCCAAAACACATCGAATGGTGCATCCCGTTTCCAAACTTATCCTAGGACACCTAAGATCGATCACCTTTTCAAGCATCCTTGCCTCTAAATCAAAATTTGCAGTCTTGCCAACTCAAAGCTGGTGTCCTACAAGCTGCGAATTGCTTAGGTATGAGTAGCAGTGCCAGCTATTCTTACGTTTCGTACATTCAAATTTTCGATCTTACGTCTGGTCAGCTTCAGGGCTTCACCATCATATAGTCATGGAGGAAAAGTGGGAATGTCTTCTGCTCTGACAAGTGCGCCAAAACTGCAATATAATTTGAGAATCATGACATCACCACCTGATCCATATGCAACGGGCAGGGTGCAGCTAATGGCTAGCCGTCAGTGGTCATGTCATCGGTGGTCACTCAAAAGGGACAACGGTGAAAACAGGGCGCCTGGGGCGATTTGATCAAGGTTCGTGAAATTTACACGTGACGTTTGCCATATAGAAGGCCCGTAGAGCGGGAAAAGTTCCAAATGTCACGTGAATAATATGCCCTCCGGCGCCCTGTTTTCACCGGCGTCCCTCAAAAGGCCATGCTAGGTCATGGAAGGTCACCAGCCGTTATTTGATCACACTTTCTGATGGATTTTACTTGCCAAGAGCTTCGCGGGAAAAACGAGCGCATGCACCGTTGAAAAAAAAAAATTGAGTGAAAGGGTCTCAGGTCCGGCGACCTCTGCAGGTGAAATGCCCCAGGGTAGGATTCCGGTCCTTGTTGATTAACTTCGTCAAAAATGGCAGTAGAGCTGTGATGTCGGCACCATTGTGTTCGTCATGATCGAGCTGGCACGACCTGCATCGTTCTCATATTCACCCTCCAATCGTAACAACTACAGCAGGGATTGGCAAATGGCGGGGCACCCCCTTTAGGAGGTAATGAAGGTCTCTGGAAACCTCATCCCACATCTCTTTAGCATTAGTGGCTCTCCTTATGGAACAGGTTTCTTGACTGGTCTGTTTCACCCCAGAATTCAAAGACTAGTCAAGGCAAAACCGAGCGCACCACAGTGAGCACAATTTGATAAGCTGGTGTATCTCAATTTTCATGTAGAAACTTTCACGTATCACGGACCTAAAACCCTTTCGTGCACTCATGCAAAAGCAACTGCCATGTTTCAACAGCTGGTAATGGCATTTTCATAGCCGCTGACGTAAGAAGGGGAGGGATGGGGGGCTCGATTAGACCCCCAGCCGTTCGGCCGCCGACCGAACTTAGCTTTGCAGAAAAAAAAAAACGAGTGCTATCGAACCCCTTGACGAGAGGGAGCCGATGCTATATCCAATTATAAGGTCTTGGGCTACTGCGTGCTTTTTTGGTCCTGCCTGTGATCTATCCGAACACTTCTCCCCACAAGTGCTGGGGTTAAATGGCATATATTTCAAATGGTTCCTGTGGTAGAACTGCCATGCTTGAATTTGACTAATTAGGAATGGAAAATTTTCATATAGTAACGGAAATCTATGGAATTTCAGTGAACTTGGTTTTATCGGCAATGGGGTCTGGCAGTGGGGTGGGGAGGTAATAAGTAATAACCCTGCCTGGCGCCCCAAAAAGGGGGCACGATCCCCGAGGCCCTGCCGATCACCTTATAACTACAGGCATCACAGCTCCACACCTTTTGCAGATGGCCAGGACCCCCTGCGATGCATCCCAACAGCAATCTTTATTCAGAACCTGCCTTGATTAACCAGCGATGCATTAAATGCGACGGACAGCTCTATAATGCATTATTATCAACTATTGAACGGGCCTCGCCGATAGGGGGGTACTGTACCCCCCTAACTTTCGATAGCGGGGGACCTGTCCCCCCCGTCCCCCCCGGTGGCGCCGCCCATGCTCACCAGCACTGTCGTCTGGTAGTTGAGTCTCGCTGCTGTCCTCATCAGACACACAAAGCTGAAACACATGATGATTACGTGAGTGAAGATTGATGCGAGATATTTGATAGGTCACCAAAAATGGTTAGAAAATGAAATTCGGCCAATTGCAAGGTTCGTTTGGATGTTGACTACGACCGAATTCTTCCGAACACCCTAGACCGAATTCTTCCGAATTTAACATTTTTGAAAAACGCCCCGAAAATCACGATTAAACAGCCGCAATAACACTAATTAGCATTGGATCTCTTTTGACCCCTGTACTTAACCTTCGCCCGAGTGCCCGTGTTTTGGCCACACTTGCCAGTTTTGTTTGCGCGCTTCAAGAAAACCGCGGCGCGCAGCGCCGCGAAACATGGTATAGCATATGATACATCAATTTCGCATCGTTTTTGAAAATTTTGACCCCAGGTCACGTAAGTTCCTTTTCAAATCTTAGTGATTAATCTGCGCCCTGCTGCTGGTTTTTTGCGAGTATATCAAAAACGTATCTCGGTTACTTTTATAAAACTTACAAAAACCTTTATTTGGGAGCTGAATTCCAATCAGGAATACATTTGGGCATTTCGAATTTCGACCGGCTTTGAAAACTGGTCCAGTAGTCTCGTAAATAACAGGGCAGAGACCCTCTTACTAGCTCCTCTACAGGGCGGAGTCTGGGAATAACAATGGGCCTGAGGAGGCGATTGTTAAGGTGCATGATGACCAAAAGGTTTTAAATGAAACTTGGCAACACTGTTCGTTAAAAACAAATGAACAAACAAACAAGAAAAAAACAATCAATGTAAACAGCTAGAACAGGCCTGTTGCATGTCACGGCATTGCTTTATTAATTTCCAACGAAATCACTGCATTGAAAGGAGTCATGAAACGCCCAAGATCGGATATGGATCATCATTTAGAGTGACCCAGAAATCACTTTACACCAGGGATGCGGAGCCGGAGCCGGAGCCGGAGCCGGAGCCGCCGGAGCCGGCATATTTTGCTCGGAGCCGGAGCCGGAGCCGGAGCCGTGAAACAATATAGCCCGGAGCCGGAGCCGGAGCCGGAGCCGCCAAAAAAGGGGGCGACTCCGGCTCCTTTTTATTTTTTGAAGAGGAAAAAAATAATTGACCTTAGTTCGGTTTGAAAGTAGGTAGAAGGCAGTAAAACATATGGTACTTACGTCATGGGCCATCAAGTGAATGAAAAAATCCGAATATCCCCAGTATTCCACAGTACGCAATCAACTTCCTGTTTGCTCCCCCCCCCCCCCCCCCACGTCTACTACATCCCCAGAACATGAGGACCGGTCATCAGGTGACGGCCATTGTTTTCAAACCAGTGCAGTGGACTGCGACTCCCAGCACCGTCTCATCAGTGGTATCATCCCACCCACCCCCCACCCCCCACCCCCCAATGCAGCCGAGACGGGTGTCAGCTTACGATGGTTCACTGAACTCCGATTCGCGGCGACTGCGTTTCCAATGCCATCGCTTCCTAGCCCTTTGTTCTGCCAGTTCTCTCCGAGGTGCGTTTGCGCGGGGACGCGGTGAGCCGGTTATGACAAAGAGTAACGCGTATAACCCATCCAATTTTTTTTCCACCCGTATTTAAAGGGACACTCCCACCTTAACATTAGTTTTGAGTTGAGATAGCCAAATTGGTGGCCATGGCCTGCAAATACCGGTTTGGGCACTCACAACATCGACAAATGCTTTAATTCGGAGATATGGAATTTCAAACTTGCAGTTTTCGGATTCTAAGGGGCTAGTGCATTGGTATGCCCCCTTAGAATTTGTGACGTCAGCGGAGATCTAACGATTTTTAAATCTTTTACTAAAACGTTTGGTAGCACGCAGGGTTGTATACGACTCAATCAATAGCAATCAATTCAATCACGACAAATTTGGGAAACCAATCAAATCAATCAAGTCAGAGCAGTTTTCGGGAATTGATTCAATCGACTCAAACGCGACAATGAAAGGAATCAATCAACTCAATCAAACGACTCAAACCAAGACATACATTAGGTTTTTTGCCCCACCAACTTGGAAAAGTGTCCATAGCAGTCTGGTGTACCTACCAACCTACCTACCTACAGAAGAAACATAAAAATATTGTCATTTAAAATTACAAATTGCCATACCATTCAAAGTTTCTATGTAATAAGGAAGGATACCTACCTAGCGATGGACAGGTGGATCATGATATTGAGGTTCAATGGGTAGACTTGGAGCAGAAGTTTCATTTAATGGGTGCAAAATAACCCAGTAGTTGACTCGCCCCTTAAACCAAATCACCACCTTTCACCTAAAAGTTGTCAATTTAATTTTGGCCATATTCCAACTCCATTTACACTAAATATCAGATATTGCAGTTGAAAGTTGGCTGCTCGGATTTTGGCAGTGTTCGTGATTTGGCCATTTACCCTACACCATGTCTATTTTATTGGATAATATGCATCAATAACATATTAACCATAGGGAAATAGAAATAAATATATTACCTGCATGTGACGGTTTCGGTTTGGGTTAGACAGAGACTGACGGGCAGCCTGAAAAATCTTTCCACACAATGTGCATTTGAGACGTGGGATGGGGCTAAGCTTTTATAAATCCTTATTCTACGTCTTTTGATTTTTTGGTAAGATGACGTCATTGATTATCATGTAGTATGGTAGATCATCATAAAATAAATCGGTTGTACAACACCAATTTCGTTTTAATTATTATTTCATTTGAAATAAAACCACTTAATAATATTCGGTAAAATATTTTAAGGCAAATGAAATATATTAAATATGTTATGCTTAGGCTCTCAGGAGAAAAGGATCAACAAACGTTCTGCTGCAAATTAAACAATGCAGCAAATTAGCTATTAATTAGTAACGTAAACGTAATTAGCGAGACAAAAACGGCGCTTTTGTTTCAGTTATTTTTGTAGGGGTTTCAGACATTTGTAGAGTTCAGTGGGTTGTTTCTGAGGAGATGTGGACGTGGAGATGTGAATTATTAATTAATCACACTTTATTAGTATATAGGGCCTTGCACTTCATCTGGATTAAAAAAAAAACGTTTCCTGCTGAGTGCAGAAAGGTAGGTAGGTGCATCGCCAGGTTCTTTCACCAGGATTGGAGCAGTTATTGCAGTTGAAAGTCAAAGTTGGCTGTTCATGTTTAGGCCCTGTTCTTTATTTGGCCATCTACCCCATATTGCAGTTGTGATGACAAGCAGTTTTCAGTGTAGTTTTGTGATCTATGATGTCATCAATTATTGTCATTATTTTTTGTCAACTAAAACTTATTTGAACTTTCCATTCAATCGACTCAATTATACGAGTCACTCTAATTTTCGGGAATCAAATCAGTCAACCAGTCGCTAAAGTCAAATGAGTCAGTCAACCAGTCATCTCGAAAAGTCAATCGACTCAATCCAATCAACTCAAAATATGCGTTGAAACAAATCAATCAATTCAATCGACTTGATTGGTATACAACCCTGGTAGCACGCGGTGGTATATGCTGCTTTGCGCGCAACAAATGCCGCACTTTCAAATAATTCGCTAGGAACAGCGGAGATCCCAAAAAGTAAACAAAAGTAAAAGTCTAATATCTTGAAAACCGGTGAATATTTTTCGATGAAATTCGGTAGATATTCGTTTTCGCTTTTTCTGAACCGAGCGACATCACTTTCGTGCCAATTCATTAACTTTTTTGAAGGTGGGAGGGTCCCTTTAATGGATTGCGTAGGGGATGTACTGAGTCGGAGCCGGAGCCGCCGGAGCCGGACCATTTTACTCGGAGCCGGAGCCGGAGCCGGAGCCGCCATAACATTTCACCCGGAGCCGGAGCCGGAGCCGGAGCCGATTTTTTTCTCCGGAGCCGGAGCCGGAGCCGGAGCCGTCTGAAATTTCCACGGCTCCGCATCCCTGCTTTACACACCTCATTGGAGTATTGGTTTGTGTAGTAGAATAAGGATTGCGATCCTGTTCCAGGCTGCGTCAAGTTTGTCGTTACCCTGCATAGGAAAGGAAGGAACGTAGCATTTGATACATGACAGGAATACAACAGGTTTTCTAATGGAAAAGTGATATGGACTGGGAGGGGTAAAAAAAAACTCAGAAGTCAGCACAGCAACTAATTAATACGACAGTGAAGCTTATTGCTTATGCTTATTGCTCCAGTAATGGAGCACTACTGGGCAATGTGCAAGATCTGTGCTACTGGAATACAACATTTTTGAAAAAAGACTTTTCATCTCTATGTCCTAATGCAAAGATCCAGGACGTGCACTAAAATCCAGGACATACATCCTACTGCAGTTAACTTACGGTTTAGGCTTGATGGCATCATCCAAAAATGACATTTCCTTTTGCCAGGAGGAGTTCTCTGGTGGCGGGCAGCCAGAGCCACTTGGCAATTGCCTGCGTTTGCGTAGGTGGTAGTCACGCAGACTTTTCCATTTCGATTTTGCATCCTGAACTGAAAAGCAGGGAATAAAATTGGTGAGAGCCTTGAAAATTTATTTTGTCAAGCGACATGTGTTTGTTACCTGAGAGACATCACAATTATACAAGCACCACGGATGTGTAAGGGTTCGCATTTTAAAGCTTAGAACCCAATTCTAAAAACGTGGCAGAGCCTGTGGCTGTTGGCACCATTTACAACACGTACAAGCAAAATATGATGCGTAAGTTTTACCTGATCTCCCAGTGGTCTTTGCCACCTCCTCCCATGCTAGCTTCTTCTTATTTCTGTTAAAGTAGTTGCTGTCCTGAGGACGCCAAAGCACGTCATGACGTCTCACGGCTTCAACTAAGGTGGTGTCACTTGTAGAGCTGAAAAATGGTATTGATCATGTCACATTGCTAACAGAGGCCCCTGTACATCCGCGATACACTGCCTGAATCAGGGAACATCAAACAGACCGATTGCAGAAAGCTCGGGAGTATTATGGTACATAGCAGGATACAGGGCTGAGGGCAGGACACAGAAGGCACAAGGCAGACACTGAACTCAGACTGAAAAAATTCATGGTATCATCGACATGTCTGGCGTAACGGGCGGATTGAGCTGAAATTTCGGTGCAGTATCCAGCGTAACTCTGTGCGCCCAAAAATTCTGCCATACGGATGGACAAAGAAATTTTGGCACAAGACACAAGACCTAGGTAACCTTGGCTAACTTCACTCCCTACGCTTTTGAATCATAAACCATGTCGATGATGGGTGTTCATCCAAATGTTCATCCAAAGCCACACAATATCGGCTCATGAAAGCCCGAGACATTCGGCACAGTGTATGGATTTTTTTCAGTCTGGCACAAAACAGGACAATGAAGGTACACCAGGCACAAATATAAAAAACGGCAGTCGTAAAGCAGGCATCACACTTGTTTTTTTTCATTTTGCAACCAAGGAGAGGCGCCGTACCCAGAGATGCTTCCTTATCAAACCAAATCAAACCTAACCAAACCTGACCTAACCTTACCTACGATCTACAACCTAACCTAGAGCGACACTCCTTGGTTGCAAAAAACAAGTGTAACATCTGCTTTACTATTACCAAAAAAAAAAACTACAACCCTGAAACCAAGCTACATCCTAACCAAAATTATGGAAAACACCTGTCCCTAAAAAAAACTTTGCTATGGTTTTGGGACTGAGGGTTCATTTCAACCAAAAATGCACAGATTTGCATGGCTTACATTTAATCGTGTAGCAAAAAATGGTCATTTTGTAGCATGTGCAGCAGTTTGAGTTGCTGCGTTGCGGAAACAAAGTTTCTTAAGGATCTAGACTCCCGCTTCCCCCTGCACCAGTACCCTTATATGAAACAAACTTCAAAAGGAGATGGAAAATGCTAGCTACATATATGCAGCATTCAAAATATCTTGATCTCACTTTAGAAAAAGTAGGTAGGTCAAGCATCCACAAAACCAAACATATTAAACATATCAGGCTTGAAATGCCTTATAAACATATATTTTCAAGGAAGAAAAACTATTATCACGAAACTCATCTAATATATGGCAAAGTTTTATTTGTAATTAATGCATATTTATGCTTAGGAAAAGAGGAAGATTGGATTTCATTGCACCTGACCTACCTTACCAGCTCATTTAATGCTATTCTGGAGATGTAGGAAGATGATGAAACACAGAACACACACACTGCCACACTCAAAATATTAGCAACACTAACCTCATCTCAAAAATGCTTTTCAAATGTTTTAAATATCAACAAAACACCCGATTGATGATAAAAACGCCGCGGCGTATGCGCGTCAAGGACGCGCTGAAAAGTTGGAATATTTCAACTCGTGAGCGTCGAATACGCGAGTAATTCAGCGCCGACCAGCCGATGAATAATCAGCTGACAACGCTTCATCGTGCTTTAGGCGCTGAAACTGCATTCGGCGCGCAACCCATAGACTCCAATGTTAAATTCAGCGCGTAAATGTGCGCGCCTAACCAGTGGACGGCGTTACGGAAATTTCTGAGCATGAGCGGCCAGCCGGCCGGCCGGCCGCGCGGACGCTTTTGCGAGGCTTATATCTCATTAACCACTTGACCGATTTATACGCGGTAATTTTTGTAGGGTAGCTTCATTCCTTCTACCAAGTATTGGACTATTCCCGATGCATGTGGGTGACCCCTTATGCACGTGCCACGTGCAAATCGAAGAGGTGTCAGTTTTGTAATTGTTGCAATATCTCGGTAACTACTTGGCCGATTGCGCTGAAAGTTGGCATGTAGGTAGGCTCAAATTTGGTACACGGTTAGGGACCAGTTAGTAGGGTGCCGTGCACAAGTCAGTTGGGACCCATTTTGCACGTGCGCACGTGCAGGGTGCCGCTCCCAGATCTCGAGAACGGCTGGGCCGATTGTGCTCAAATTTGGCACATCGCTAGAAACCGGTCAGTAGGGTGCCGTGCACAAGTCAGTTGGAGGTACCCCCTCGAAATTTCGCACGTGCAAGACTCACCCCCTCGCTCGCTCCGTTAGTCGCTCCAAAAGGCGCTATACTGGTTAAGTATCAGAGGATCGTGACAAGCACCACAGTGACTGTAAGGGAGCCCCGTGTGCACCCGTTTCCTAGGCGCCTGCAAACACTCGTCCTGTATTTGTGTGATTTCGAGCCCATAAGCAGCTCCCGCTCAAATCTGGATTCCGGACCATAGCTCCCCGAGTCCCGTGGCCACTTGTGTTGATCCTGTACTGGATTATGCTAATGCTTTATCATAATGACCGGTTCAGAGTGGTTGGAGCTTTGTTTCCACAACTGATGGACAGAACTAGCTCACCGTTACGCACGGGTCGCCGGGCTTTGGCGAGCTTTGAATTAGCAATAAGTGGCAAAGGGCGACATTGGATGGTCTGTCTATACAAGTTAGACACTGCCTCCAGAGCACGTTAGACACCAGGTAAAAGGCAGAGTCGTGACACACCTATTCAGATAGTGACTTCATCGAGCAGGTCGGAGTGAGAAACAGCGATTATTACTTGGACCGAACATCACAACACTACAATCTGAGGTACGATATACAGCACAGATATCCGGGAAAACAAAACCTGTCGGTTGGCGCCGCAAATGAGACTTGTGTACGACATGGACCAGCATAAATAAAAATGCATCAGCATCTCGTATCAGCAGTTCGTCGACTTTACGGGCACCCGTCAAGCAGTGTAGAGACTAGAGGACCGAGCAGTCAGCACGTAGCCATAGGCAATGCCCACCGCTTCTGAGAACTGCTGAGACCATCAGTGCTCGCTGGCGCCGCGGTAACGATGGTTGGGCAGATTCGTCCGGCAAACAGGCGCTGAAAATGAGCCGCGCTCGGCAGCCGATTGCAGTGGTGACCTTTGCGCAGAGGCACCAGCCAGCGTGTCCAGACCCAGCCACCTGCTGGCGTCTCGCGCTAGGCATGTTCTCATCTATGCACGGTAGCGGAGGCCAGAGGTGCCGCTCAGATCAGCAGGGACATGCCACCCGCGCTGCAGCTACCACCCAGCGGGAGGTCACTGATAACGAGCCCTCAGACTGGTGTGATGATATTTAGTATCATTAGCTGAGTGTGTTGGCAGCAATGATATATCCTCTTCAAAGCTTCTCATACCATTGAAACCAACGATGAAAACGGCCTTTAATCTCACCGTCAAAAGAAACTGCATGTGTAAACAGTTTGCGAAAAAGTCACTTTCAAAATCGTCGATCAAGCAAGGTTTGAAGAGAGCTAACTTCTCCCAGTACGAACGCCATGTCTTTTACTTGATATACTTATTTCCCATCTCTTCAATAAGCTTTCAGAGTGCTCCAAGGTGAAATCACTAAGTTTAATGCGTTCAGAATCCTCCCGATAAACCCTGCACTGACGCAGATTCGAAGTCTGAGTCTCTGTGCGACGGGACTTGTCAGTGAGTTGCGGCTCTCGTCTGTTCCAGAATAGCTCTCCTGCGCGCAGAAAATCCCCAGTTCGGCCAGCTCTGAGCGTCCCATATACTCTGAGCTGCAGCTCAAGTGATCTGAATTCAGCCATCTCAGGGTAAGCTGCTGCAGTTCGGAGTTCCGACAGACAATCTGAACTGCTCCCTCTGGCTGCGTGAGACCCTCCTCCAGACGAAACTGGACCAGACGCCGTCAGGTCACCTGACCGGAGCGGCGGTCCGTTGGTCCGGGCGGTCCGATGGTCCACCGCTCTCACCCGGCCGCCGCTGGTCCCTGAGTCGCAGCGACTGGGCAGTTTTTATGAGGTGACTGGCTCCTGACTGGCTCTGCCACCGGACAGCCCGCGGCGGCCCGGCGGCCGGCAGAAGCCAGTGACCAGCTAATGGATCAGATCCGGTAGAAGACCAGGCCACTCATTACTGCTCACAAACACGCCATCCACGCTGCTGTCTACTTTAGAGTAAATCTGGCCACTGACCACTGACCAGTGCACTGACCGCCTGTCGGGGCGGAAAGTTAGCTCATCTTGCTCTGAGGTCAACCAGTATACCACACAACACATGATAAATATATAACCAACATTCCTGAGCGTCTCCCCGGACAGTGAAAGTTGATGTTGATCATTTATCGTGCCCTTAGCTCAGCATCTGACGGCACATTACGGCAGACATCAGCGGCGGGACCACCTACAGCCGGCTGTGTTCTGATGAGCGCCGCTACATCAGCGGCCGGCATATTACACCGGCCTGCTCGGCGGGCGGTCAGCTCGGCCCGGTTTGATCTCGGGGCTGGTCGGCAGGGACGCCAGATACACTGGCTGCTAATAATGCCACCCACGCCGAAAAGCAACATCGCCGCCGCCACAACAACCCTCGCCGCGCTGCCGCCGCCGCCGCCGTCGTCGTTGTCGACACAAATAGAGCGTCGGCGGCGACAACGGCGACGACAATAATGACGGCGCGGTGTTCCGAGACAGCCTCATCGTGGCCCGAGATTGAGCAGGTCCGCCCACCGAGGCCCTAATCATCAGTCGGTTTCCCATTCCACGAGAGATGTCCCTTGGGATATCGTGCAATCAGTGTGGTAGTGATGGTCACTGAGGTACTGTCGATTATTGTTGAGACGATATTGATATAGTAGGTAGAATTATTTCAACAACGGTGCAACTTTCCAGGATAAACGTTTCTTGCGCAAAAAAAAGATATTCATCGTTCCGCAAGTAATGGAGCGTGCTAAATATTCAACAAATTTTGATTTGCAAGGGATTGAGACAAATTCCACGGGTGGTTAGGATACCTACTGTTGAGAAGTAGCTATTAAAAAGCCAATCGAAACAGGATGTCTTCGAATTTTAACGAAATTACCGTCATTTACTTGCTATTTGGATTATGCTTGCATGGATTCGTGTCAAATCTAGGATGAAACTTTTTGATTTTTTTCTCATTTAGGTGTTCTACGCAATCAACGTCGACAGCCATTCACATGCTAGAGCCGTATAAAAAAGAAAAGATGAGGAAAAGGCTGCACAAACGTAAGGGCAAAGTCATGAGTACGGGCTGGCAAGTCAATGTCATGGTCTGTTTTCGTTGCGAAGCTCCACCAGCCACCTATGTATAACGTTGGCTCTAGTGGCTACTGCGTCGCTTCCTTGGCTGAAAAGCCAGACGTGCTTGTCATGGCGCCTACCAACGCCTGTCCGTGAGTCTGCAGAAAATTGAACCGACCGACCGACCGACCGACCGACGGTGTCAGCCTTTTTGTCCATCAATACAGATGATTATGTAAACCGTGACGAACTGGACATACTAGCGGTAAAGAATCATGAGGACAGTAAAGAAAATGAGCAGAGGAGTGAGGACACCCCGGGGTTAGGAAAGTGTGAGACAGAGGGCTGGTCGGGGTCGACTAGAGTATCAGAAGCTCTGGTCTGCAGCGGAGTAGAGGAGGATCTGCAGGGGGCATGGGGCTGCAACGGACCGGTGAAGGCTGCGACTAAAGTCTGTCATGAGAGCAGACAGAGGTTTGTGAACCATGGGAGAGCTGCAAGCTGCAGCGGGACCCCGTTTGGAACGCTCCAGCAGTGACGCTGCAGGCGACTCATCAGACCGCGATGACGCCAGGCTTCCATCCCTCCCCACCCCTTCCCGTCCCTTCCCCACTGACGAAGCTTGAAAGGCCACCCCGTCTCGAGCATTGCGTGGTCTGTGCTACCGTGTGTATATAGCCACGAGCACCCGCAAGATAGCCTGCGCACAAGTTTACTCGTACGCACGCTGTGTTTATTTGCGGTACGATATTTTGAAATAACCGCGCTGCTTAGCTCATCCTCAACTATTTCTGGGTCGCCAGAGTTTGGTGATTAAATCGGCTAACGAGGATGTGAATCACCTCCTATCGAGGAAACGCCTCAGCATGAGGTACTATTTAATACGTGACCCTGACCATCGAGACAGAAAATAGCGTGTCTAAACTTTGACCGCACAGTGCGTAAGGAATAGCTTGGCATCGTCCTCATATACTTTAATGATCATTTCATTATCCGCTTTTCTCTGCGGGTGGTAAATGGCAGGCAGAACGGCCAGATAGGCGAGCTCATCAAAAGTCCATCCTTGTCAAAAATGGGTCAGCGATGTCGGGACCGCAGTTGGCCGGTGCTCTTACGGCCGGATTAGTGTTAACTGCACTGTGACGCTGCAAGCTGAGAGGGCCCTTAAATCGCCGAATAACTGGCCTGTAATGTGCGGTGGATGGTGTCGGACCGGCGGCCCCGGCTGGCTCGGTAAAGACGCCGCCAGCCGGCCGGCACTAAACGAAGACGGACGCGACAGAGCCTGTCATATAACCATAAAGGCAAATAATAGCAAAAGCAATCAAATATGGGTCCGAAGTTAAAAGAGTGGTGTAAAATATGCGGTGGTTCATCACAATTGGCCGGAGGTTCATGTAGGTACCAGGGTTATATTGCATGTTTGATGTTAGAACTTCAATTTGAATGCGTTACTTTTCGAAAGAAGGTACG